TGAAGTCTTAAGGTCCTAGTAATCTTTCTGCACAACTAGTTGTTGAACCAGAGAATGTTACTTTGAGTTCAAGAAAGACCATTAAACACTCGCAAGAGCAGCAACCAATAGATAAAGATCTTAATGCTACTGCTCCAACAAGTGAATGCAGCCCAGCAAGTGTAGAATTTGCTCATACTACTCATACCACTTCTACTGAGGCAGAAGAAAATTTTGAGCAACCTTTTCCTCTTCTATTTCATTCGGTTTTTCATGATAATTTGTTTAATGATTTAGTTGATGATAATTTGGCTGAGTTTTCTGAATTTTTAGATTGTATTAATTATCCTAACCTAGCCAATTATCCTAATTCTTTTACTTGTGATGCATGTAATGATTCTGGAAAATGTAGCATCTGTGTTGAGATTGATACATATGTTTATGGTGATTTTGATGCAGCTATTGCAGATTCTGAAAAAGTAAATTATGATGCATCCACGACAAATTCAGCTCCAATTTTTACACTGCCTTCTTTTCTAAAGCTGCCCCTTGCATATGAGTTAAAGTCATTTCCTGAGCAGTTGAAATATAAATATTATATCATTGTATATTCAAGGGAGCAGCCTAGGTACAGCAGCAAGACACGATGTTCTGCACATCAAGGAAATGAAGAGCATGAAGAGAAGCTTATTAAGTTCATGAAGCAGCTGAAAATCCCTCCACGGCTATTTCTTCCATGTTCCCAATTAAATGAAGTGCTGCAAATTTATGAGAAAAAAGAGGAATATCTAGGGATACAACTCACAATTATTATTATTATTATTATTTTAGAAGTTTTTAATTTATTTTCTACATTCAATAATGGTCTTACATTTGAGTTTCTCGCCTCAGGTTCTTTTCTGGTAAGCTTCGTTCTAGGTGGCTTGGTCCTTATATCGTGACTAAGATTTTTCCCTATGGTGCTGTGCAGATTTTGAAGCCTGGAACGGATAAAGTACTCATAGTGAATGGCCACCGCCATTTCATGAGGACATACCCTTGGAGACCACTGAGGAGGTCCGCTTACTAGCGGCCACTTATGCTTGATTAAGGAGTTCCCCTCTTCATTTCCTTACTATATTTTACTTACATTTCCATTATACATTACATTGAGGACAATGTAAAATTGAAGTGTTGGAGGGAGAATGATAGGTTATTGATAAAAAATAAATAAATAAATATTTTTTATTTTTTTAGCATTGTTTTTGTTTTATTTTCCTTTGTTGAATTGGAAGTTGTTAAGTTAAGGCATTAGTCATTAAGGAGGATAGAGTTCATATATGATTTCATTCTTGCTTTTTCCTCTTGATATATGTGAATTGGGTGATTGATTTTGATTTGTATGATTGAGTATGTTAGACTTTACCTTTGAGAGCTTTTGAGCCTTATTTTTGGATGGTTGAAATTCATGCCATTCTTTTCTTTCTTGTGTGTTTTCCCTCTTAGATTTTGTCATTCTAGAACTTGTTTTGATTCTTCTTTGAGGCTACAATTTTCATATGCAATTATGAACATGATAGAGACATTTCTTTCAAATTTGTACCCACTTAGCCATATAGCTTAACTTGCATTTTGCCCTTTGTTTATCCCCTTTAAGCCTTATTGACCATCCTTTGGCTTCTAGCACATTATAAGCTTTAAGTGAAAAACCATGTGATATCTAACCTTAGAGAATAGGGAGTGCATTGGTTTCATTAATATTATTGCATTTCAAGTGTGGGGGGTTTGGAAAGAATGCAAGAAGAGAAAAAAAATGAAGAAAAAGAAAAAAGAGAAAAAATAAATAATAATAATTAAAAAAAATTTACAAAGAAAATGAGAATTTTTTATAAAGGGAAAAGAATGTCCAAGGAAAGTAAATGTGTGTTATGGCTTGATTTGTCTAAGGACCAATGTTATTCCTATTCTCTTCGGTTGTATCTTGTCATATCCTCATATTTCTCTACCCTTACATTAGCCCCATTACAACCATTGAATAAAGCTCTCTTGATTTGTGTTTGCATATGATTGTAAGTAGTGGAGAAGTAGAAGATTAACAAGATTATGGTAATGCATTGTCTTTTGAGGTAACTTGAGTGAAACACTTTAAACCATACACTTGAGAGTTGAGTTGTATACACCATCTTGTGAGATCTTTCATGCTTGATCTATACACTTTGAATGATATTGCTTGGCTTGCATTTCTGAGAGGTTGGGAGTTTAATGTTTGATTGTTGTAAAACTTTTGATGCTTTATTTGATCTTGTATTCCTAAGTTCAGCACTTCTAAGGATTCATTGGAGAATTTGTTTATTTGTTTTGATTATTCTATGATTTTTTAGGTTACATGTTTTTATTTGCTTGATTGTGTCTTACATGAGGACATGCAAGAGCTAAGTGTAGGGGAATTTGATCAATTGGATTTTTATAACCTTATTTCCTTTCATTCCTAGCTCATTAATCCTCTTTTGTGCCTAATTGGTTTGAATTGGATCATTTTATGATGCAAAATTTTATTTGGGCTTTATTTAATTTTTCTAGTATTCAGCAAATTCTGATACTGTTTTGGTTTCTGGACCATATCTTGAGTTGTAGAACTTATTTCATTATGATTTTTGATTTGTAGGAAAGCTAAGAGAAAAGTACACAATTCATATGAGAGGTCAGAAACCAATTTTGATGATAAGAAGCTGAAACTGGGCCTGAAAAAAGTTGAAACGCTGCAGTCGCGGATCCTAAGCAAGGTGCAGTATTTGGGTCATATCTCAGTCCCCAGACATCCGATTAAGCCCATTCCAGTGGCGTTTTGAAGCTCACATCCAAGGCTACAATTGTCATTCAGGTAACAAACCAAAAAGAGGTCGTTTTCATAGTAAAAAAAAAAAGGAACAAAGTGATGAACGGAATTTTCAAATTTTTAATTTTAATTTTTTTGGCTCCTCTCCTCTCTTCTCCTCTCTTCTCTTTTTCGTTTTTTTTCTCCCCTTTTACGACTTGTTTCCCTCTATCCATGAAGGCTTAGATTTCCATCTAGTCCAAGGATTAAAAGAGGGCTGAGACACTCTTGAGGATCGGTTTCGCAATTTATTCAACAACAAATTCGGTTTCATCTCTTCCTTCTTTCTTCTTTTGCTAATTATGATTTCGAATTGAAGTTCTTCATTTGGATTGATAATTGTGCAGCTGTTTGATTACATATTATTCGGTTGATGTATGTAATTAATTCTTGAAGGAGTGTGAATTAGATTTTCAGGTTTGAGATATAAGATTAATGGCATTAGTGAATTAAATTAACACAAATCGATTAGGTTCTAGAGGTTTCTGAATTTTGAGCGAATTGTGTGTTAATCGAATGCATGAGGGTTCTAGTGTGAATGCTTAATTTGAATTGAGGTTTCATTTGAATTTAATGTTAATCACTAATTTGTTGGTTGATGCATCTTCTTGGAATCCCGTGATAGAGTGGTCGTAGTTCTTCTAAATTCTTGGATTAGAGTTTTTATTATTTTTAACTTTTGATTCTAATTAGTTATTCTATAAATCAAACCCCCTCTAAAAATTTTATAATCGTATAACGTTATCATCGTTAGGAGACGACTTGGATTGCACCACTTACTACATAATTTTTATGCAATTTATTTTTTATTAATTTGTCCGAGAGCGACACTCGCGATCACCCTCCTCTTGGTCAATTGAAACTAAATAAGATGGGGTCGTTTGCAAATACTTGCCTGCTATTACTTGTGCAGGTATCATAAGAGATTGGAAGGGACAGGTTGTGGCTGAATTTCACAACTCTTTGAACCCCTGCTCACCCCTAGAAGTTAAATTATGGGGAATCTATTATGGAGTTTAACTAATTTTGCAGAAGAATGTTCAACAAATCTATTGGATTAAGACGCACTCGTAGGAGGCTCTAAATTGTATCCAGCATATTCAAAACTGCTCTCACCCTCTATTTAATTTAATTTGTAAGATTAAAGACACTCTTAAGTTTTTAAATTTATTAAATTAGTCCACATATATAGAAAGATCAATCAATATGCTGATAGATTAGTTAAAACGGGTCTAGTCTCACTCATTCATATTTGATTTAACTTCATGTGATTTGTACCCAGCTTTATACTTGCATATTTTTGGTATCTGAACCCTTAGATCTATTACTTAGTTTTATTTAATTTTCTGGGTTCTTAACCTCATAAATAGGAAAAAGAATAAAACGGTAATTATTAGTTACATTTGACCATTATTGTCATAATCATGCAAAGGAACACAAAAATCTAAGTTATTTAGCGTAAAACTTAAGAAATAAACCTCGTTTTTTTAACCAAAATTATGCCCTTTTTCACACACATTTTTGGGCTTGAAGCGTGTGATTATTTAATGCAGTCCTAATTGGGTCACAGAAATTCAACGATGCCCCATGTTAAAACTCAAAAGTTCCAAATATTAAATCTCGAAATTTAATTATCTTCTAAAAAAATTTGTTGCCAAGTCGTACTCGATATATATAAATTGGTTTAACCAAATACTTTCAAATCTTACGAAGACTTCACGAAATTTCATCTTACACAACTTCCATATTTCTTTTCAAGCGTATATTGCTAACGTCCCTTAAACATCAGAAAACAACGATGGTTTGAGTTTTCTAAGATCAACTAAACCCTGTCGCTTGTTTTTTATTCAAGTTGAAATTAATTTTTACTCGGGAGCGTTCAGTCTTTCAATTTTAGTTAACTAGTTCCATTCATTCAATAAAAAATTTGATATGCCAAGATTCCTTTCACCGTGGATAAAAGCAGATCATGAACCCATAATAATTAACACAGTAACTAGAATAATTTCATTCATAATTGATTAAGGAAGACAATCAAAAGTCCACTACTAATAGGACGACTTGTAATTTATCTTCTTCGGTTATATATATATATATATATATATATATTAAGTAGGATAGCTACAATTAAGCTAATGATACAAAGAGACGAACATGCATCTTAGTTTTAAAAATTGACAATTGATCTATATGTCTGACCAGGCTTCCACCCTGCAGGGATGACATTGTTGGCCACAATGGTCTTGCCAGACTCAAGCGTGGTTAGCCTAATAGAGAATGGTGCTTTGAGTGGTGCACCTTTGTCAAGTTTCCAAACTGCACCCCATGATTCTTGCATGGAATCCCATGACGATGAATCAAGTGCTTCCTTAAGTTCAACCTTGGCAAGGTCACCATCTCCATCCTCATATTCAACCAAGGCAGCAAAATATTGTTGGTTAGATCCAGAGTCCACGTGAAAAGCAATTGACATTCCCGGATAGTTGCATTCAACTCTGCAAGGAAAATCCATTACAACATGATCGTGCAAAAGTAACTCAAATATTGAAAAGAAATTATGCCAATGACAAAAACGTAAATTAAACAATATATGTCAAAAAATTATAACTGAAAGTCAAGAAAGTTGACGTGTTTATTGAAAAAATAGCAAAAGAGTATTAAGAATTTTGTCCCACTGGGAATATATAATTAATTAATTTAGAAGTTTAAAACCTACCTTCTATGTTGAATGCTTATTTTTCCAGCGTTGCGTAGATTCCCATCTTGACCTGAAACTGCCATGGCTCCAAAAGCATCGCCACTCAAATCGAAATGATAAGGAGCATCTGAACCACACCCAGCACACTCATCAGTGATGACTACTCTCACAGGTTGGCCTGAGCATGCAGAATTTCCTGTGCACTTCACCTGAAATTAATTAAACAAATTTGAGCGAAAACAGTGTTGAATAATAACTTCGTCTTGAATTCCATGCAGTGTGAAAGATTAATACTTTAAACTTAAATCATAATTCAGAAACAGAGAAATGTGAAGAATTAACATACTCTATGTTTTCTATAAAATATTCTTTATTATTAATTAAATTTTATTAAGAAAAAAAATTATTAAGTGACACTCATTTAAATAACAAGTGTCTCCCATCAATTCACAAGTATCAAATTAATAATAAAGAATACGTTGAAAAGAGTATCTTATAAAGGAAAGATATTTAACTATGCATGTTCATTGTTAGCACCTCATAACATGAACCACACCCTTTGCCCGAGTCATATATAAGAGGGCTTCCCGCAGATACTAGCGAAGAGAATGGAGCTTGCCCAACAGCAGTACCATATCCACAAGCACCACCTACATATTTAAACGGCAGATATGTAGTCACCGACACTATTTCAACCATAATTTAACCATGAGTAGTGGCATATATTTTCACACCCGTTCATGAGATGTGAAATGGATGTAAGAAAAAGAATAATAGAACGTAAAAGAAAATATAAATATAAATAACTTAATAAAAAGAGAAGAGAGAAATAAAAAGAAAAAATAAATGTAAGAAAAATGGCCGTAAAAATATTTTACTATTTAAGCATTATTTGGGCATATTCTTAATTTGCATAAAGTTAAAACCGCTTGGAACCAATTTATTTGTTTATTTTTTATATTACCTTCACTTCCGTCGCCTTGGGCAGGTCCATACCAAGTGGCCAATGCAGGTGACCAATCTGAACCTGAAGGAGAATAATATGAAGCATTAAGCAGCTTTTTGGGGTTGAAACAAAAGGAAGGGATCACTAAGAACATTGAGAGTAAAGCTACAAGGGTGATTAGATGAGATAATGCAAGTTGAAGTGTAAGAGCCATATTATCACAACCACTAGGATTTTGTTTATTAGTTTCCTAGGTAGTTGATCGTTAACTGTGATATATGGTGTGAGGAATATGCAATGGCTAGTGCGGTATTTATAGAGAACTAACGAGGGTAGTGCATAGGTTTTCAAGTCTTAACTAATTCCATGTAATAGTATTCCACAGGGCAAATATAAAAGAATATGCTTATTCCGTCAGAGAGAATTTTGTGCCTCACTTTATTCAAAGAACAAGACAAATAAGATGTTTGAATTTGAGATATGAGACACGTTCCCCTATTCATTGTCATCTGGACAATATCTTATTGTGGATTGCATTGCCATAAGCAGATTATGTATGAGTTATTTAGAGCACTTTTATCCGTAAAATAAGTTTAAGTTTTTATTTTCTCTCTTATAAATTATATATAAAATTGTGGGTTTACTTTCTTTCACTTTCTCTTTATCACTATTGGTTTCTAATTGTTCAGCAATGTTATTTAAAATAAGATATTTTCTATAAAGATAGTCTTATATTATGATAGAAAATGACGTTTCTTCTTTTTAATTTCTCCATATAAAAGTATAATATTTTGTTTTCAAAACTATCACTATTAGCACATAACTTTCTCACTTGCACGGATATCGTTTTTTAATATACTTTTTAATTTTTCACTTGATAATCAGTAAGCTAATTTACATTATATCAACTTACTTTGATTTCTTAATGTTAAAATAGCAATTGAAACTAATGTACTCGTGATTAAAGATGTCTTTTCCTTTTGTCTTAATTATTTAGGCTTGAATAATATACCAACGACTTGATGAACCCTTTTCGTAAATTAAGAGTTCTTTTTAATCGCATATTGGAAAGCTAACCTGCTCTAAGCCAATTTTTCAAAAGATTCTTTTTCTCCTTTTTCCAAATGCTGTTTGAAAATACATGAAAACAGATTCTAAATGGGTCGAATTAAAATAGAAGTATGTCCCTAAGACCCTTTAAATTTGATGAAACTATCTGTGCGATTATACTCTTATTGTGTCCAAAGAAAACTCAGAATCGATGTCAACTAAGTTTGGTTTCCTATGTGGATACTTTTTTTTTTTTTTTACTTTGAATTTTAAGGTAACTTAATTTATCTTTTTGGTAATTTTTCAAATAATAAACTCATTCTACCAAATTGAGATAAAATGTATTTAAAGAAATTAATATTATAATATATTTAAAAATAATATATTGTACCTAAGAAAGTGACCATAAACTATTTTTGTGCAATTTGAAATATCTGTATTTTCTTTCTGACTGCAACTCCCATAAACTACGGTAACATGCAATGTTAGACTCGGGAAGTCTGGATGGTTTTGAAATGTTTTTAAGAAATGACAACGACGTAACGGGCTAACTTCATGCGCTTATATATTTTATATTATTAGAGATAAGGAGCACTTACTGACCCAAAAACTAAGACAAGAACCACATAATAAGTGAACACTTGTCACCGTTTATTAATGCATTATGATTTCTACTTTCCAAGATAACCTCTTTACAGTTTTAGATGGTAAGGGAAGGAAAGGCAACATATTTATTTTAAATTATTTTATTTTAATTTAATAATCTTTTTAAATTTTACTAATTACCTTATGTCATTAGCAGAACTTAAAGACCATACTAAATACATGTCATTAAATGTTTTGAATAATTAGAAGCGTTTTTTAATGTGTTTATAAATTAAGCATGTGTTAAGAAATTTAAAATAATAAATTTATATTAACAATATTTTAAAATATACTAACTTTAGTCTTCAATTCTGAAGATTAATTTTAAGCAACTAAAAATTATAAGTTCATATTAAAAATAAATTCATTAAATAAATCATTAAAGTATAATAAATACTTTTTTAGTAAAAGCTCATTAATTTTAGGTTAACAAAATTGAAAGATTTGTTCTACAAAAAATATATATTACATACTTTTGTTTTTATAATTTATAGTATTTAATGGTTATACACCATATACTTATAGATGCATGTTAAAATAAAATAAGCATTGAATAACTTTAATTACAATGCAAGTATGTTAAAATATGTTACTCTTTTCTTAAACACTAGCCATCGGCATATATAAACTAAAAGCAAAACACTATCATAATCATTAAAGTAATTTAATTATTTTTATTTTATTTTTTAATGCTTATTTGTGTGATAGTTATTATTTTATTACAATTATAAATACTTTTATTAATTTCTCAAAAGAAAATATGGATTGACTATTACATTTGATGGCCACACCTCGTCAAAATTTCGGAAATTAATATTTAATAGAAAAACTAGTTATTCTGTTCACTTTTCCCAATTAAAATGTTTATCCCGATTCTATATGCAGATTAATTGAGGTAAATGAATACTTAGATTTAGAAATATAAATTAGTTGGCTAAGAACACGTTACTTCATTCATTCGTAACGTCTCTGTATACAATGAAAGATTTAACAATCTAACGGTTGAATATTTTATATTATGTTAATAATTATATACATTAAAATGTTTTATATAATTTAAATATTTGTAGGTATATTATCTAAAATTTGATATTTATTTATATTTTAAAAATATATTATAAATTAAAAATAATTAATATGATGAAATACATATTATTTTTATCTAGATTTTATAAAATTGATATACGTAATAAAATATTTAAATCAATGGATAGATGGTTCAATTTTACATATTTTTAAAAAAATTTAAATAATATCACTGTTAAAGTTTAACAACGTGAATAGATTTTAAATATTTTTTCTCTTTATTTATATATATATTAATGTCGTATGAAAATATATGTTAGTAGAATAGTTAAATATGTGATTTATATTTTCTTTTGTCATGCTCGCAAATATTTTAAATAATAATTAAAATTATTTATTATATTTTATTACATAATTTTAGTTACTTTTAAAAATATTTATTTTAATAAATAATTTTACTTTTGACTTTTAAATAACACTTTTGATATTAATTAACATTTGTTAGCAATGGCAATTTAAAATAAACTATGTTTTACTAATAGAAGTTGGTTCAAATAGTAAGTGATTTGAGTTTTTATATATGTAAAAAAAATTTAATAGTAAACTCACTTATCACGTTCAAGTGTGCAACCTAGTCAAATCTGGATTAAATCAAATGGTAAAAAAAAGAAAAAGTTATGTTTTAGGATTTATTTAAAATAACTTATGCTTTATCAGTGTTTTAGATTAAAACTGAAATACAGACATAAGAGAATGCTCTTAAAGGTTTTTAATTTAAAAATTAATATCAATTAATGATAAGATTGATTTTATCATTTGATTAATTAAAATAGTTTAGACATTTTATCTAAATATAAAATGTTCTGAATAAAAAGAAAAAAAAACGATAATACGTCAAGTCATTCATCAAATACCTATAACTTAACTTATCAAGTTTAATTTGACTTAATTTTATTTGTTAAAGAGTTAATTTTTTTTAATCTTACTAAAGATGCTAGACTAAGTAATGAAAGATATATTTTATAATAACAATATTTTTCCAAGTTAATTAATCAATGAATGATTAATAGAAATAATGTGTTAACAATTTTATAGTATTCATTTATAGTACCTTAAAATTATATGTGTTGACTTAAATAAAGGCATAAAAGTATTAGTTTTTTAAAAATATATATTAAAATTTTGTTTTTAATTAAATATGAAGATTATATTATGCTTTAAAAACCGATTATCTTAAAAAATATAAATATTAAATAAATAAATCAAATTTAAACTTTAAATTAAATTTAGGCCTATTTAATTAAAATAAAATCTTAGCCATTTCCATTCACTTTCATCCTCAGAATGTAACAAATTTTTTTACCCAAATTTTATACGAAGATATAGCACAAGATTCTATATAGTCTATTTTATTTATATTTCCTATCAAATCAAATTAAGAAAAGTAGCGTAACGAAACACAAATAAATAGTAGTTATAAATGAACGCAATTTACGTGTTTCATGGAAGGATTTACAAAGGGAGCAAGAGCACATGGGTGTTTGGGCCCACTTTGATTTTAGAGTGATGTAGGTCGGCTAATGAAATGGGCGTATGCGGACGACGTCGTCTCTTTCAAGGAAATACGAATCTTGTTGTTCGTTAATGTAGCCGTTAATGGAGGTTATTAGCGGTTGAACTAACTCATTTCCATGTTGATCCAACGGTTCACAATTAGCAATCACTTATCACATGGGTGTCTGCATCACAACTAGACAGCCTCACCATATATTTGGCAACAATCAAGGCTTCCTCCAAACTCCCTTTCCCTCTTTTCAACATTCTTTTTATTGTTGCGTGTGCACTCTGTTTGTGACTTTCTTCCTGCACTTTTTCCGTCAGTACAAAAGCAAAACCCTTGTGCGTCACTCGTATGCAAAAAACCAAAATAATTTAATAATCTTATCAATGTATTTTTTTAATATTTTATCCATCCTAATATATTTTCCATAAAAATATCTTTATTTGTAATGTTTTAACCAACGTTTTACTCATTAGGAAAATCCTCAAATTAACTTCTCTATATTTAGTCTCATAATGTATGATTGATTTTAGATTGTTTATTAAAATATTATTATTCTTAATTATTAATTGGTCTATGAAAAAGAGTTAACATAGTAAATTTTTTTGTTAATATATAATTAAATAATAATATAAAAACATAAGCTACATTCTAAAAAGATATACTTACATTAATATAATATGTTTAGTAGGTGTTCATGGTGTACTGGAAGTTGAATTTACTAAGATTTTTCCTTAACTCTCAGTTGTATTTATGAGTGTGCATGAAAATTGGACACTATAAAGAAGAATTTGTGATGTAATTTTTATCCCTTTATTGCTGTCCAAATATATATATATATATATATATATATATATATATATATATATAGTATACAAAAATTGTTGCTTCAATTTTAGCTAATTACAAGGTAATTATTTCTAAATATAATA